TGTTATATATACTGGAATTTTATTTTATTTTTACTAGTAATGGCAGCGATTAGCTACTTATAGTGGGACTGCGGCGGACATTCTGACACTGGGGGGAATTGACTTTGTGTCACTGATATCCCCAGTGACACCATTACAGTGATTAGTGCTAAAAAAAAAAGCACTGAAACTGTACTAATGGCACTGGGCAGGAAGGTGTTAATATGAGGGGCGATCAAAGGGTTAACTGTGTGCAGGAAGTGTTTTACTAGGGGGCTGTGTCATTGTGCTTCACTGTAATTCACTCTAGAGCAGTGTGCCCGAGCTGAAAGGCAGCAGGACTGTTAGTAAACAAAACAGTCCTCCTCCCTGTCTTCGGAAATCACTGGGAGTCGGCGAGTAATTACTGACCCAGACCCGGTGATTGACAGCCGCGGCCACAAAAGGCACGGGTAGGGCATGTGCGCGGCTTGCGAGCGCCCCCTACCTGGAAATGCAAAATCACAGATATATACACACGTGATTTTACACACCTGTGCCGCCCTGTAGCAGTATTTCCGCTATAGGGCGGACGGGAAGCGGTTAAAAACACCCTCTAGTATTATAGTCATGATCATCTTGAGTAAGGGCAAACAATTCATGTAGCATTTACTTCCTGGAATCCATCTGCCCTTAGCTCGGACATGCAGGCAGGAGGGTATGCATAGCTGAGAAAGCCCTTCCTCCCCTCCTCCAGATGAAAGAGAAAAAGATGCCATAAAGACTCCTGAGATGTGAGACATTGCTTCAGCCTAGGTCAGAGGCCAGGAAGCAATGGAAGAAATGTACACAAAAAAAAAGATTATAACAATTAAATCTAGTATTTCTTCTAATTACTAAGGATGACAGCATAAGGATTCAAAATAGCTAATGCTGATTGAAAATGTTTAGTTCCACTTTAATAGCTTTCATTTGATCACTTGTTAACATTTTAAAAAACTTTTTTTTTATTTAATGTGTTGCCTTGTATTAGTATTGCACATTGTTTAATGGCTTTTTCAAAAAAGTCTTTAAGGGCCTACATGCGTTTCAGTTGCTTTTTTTCTGCATCCAAAACATACAGAAAGTAGATTATATGGTTGTCAATGTCATAGTTCACATCAGTGCTTGTACTTTCAGTGCGTTCCGGTTGCAGAAAAAAAAAGTAGAACAGGCTGCATTTTTTCTGCACAGAACTGTACTGGAACGTGGTAAAAAGCATGAATAATGCACCGGAATGCACCAAAATCACTGGAACGCACATGTCCCTATTTAAATTGAGGAAAAGGAGAGGGGAAAAAAAATTAACTGTAATGCATACAAAGCGCACTGGAACGCATAAAAAACGCACCGGAATGTGCAAAAAACGCATCATAAACATGCATCCAAAAACGCATCCGGAACACATCTGGTTGTGTATACTGTGTATTTTATAGTGTGAACCAGCCCTAAAGGATAAGTTCACCTTTGGAAACATGTTACATGTTCCACCCATTTTTAGGGTGGAATACATAACATGTTCCCAATACTGCAACTGCCGCCCACTGCCCCCCCTCCCTCTGACAGAAGTAGGGGGGAAACGTTCCCCTGCACTATCTGTCAAATTTGAAAGCGTCGTGGCTGTGAGTGCCCTTCCCACACGGCTGTGTTATTCATACACAGATTTCCATGACTGAATTCACTACAAGTCCCGACAGTCTTAGTGACTGTTGGCTTGCAGGTTTCAATGAACTACCACAGTGCTGTGGAGCGCCGTGGTAGTTCATTGATTCTTCCTGTTAGTATATCTGCTTGCCTGTACATCCCGTACTGACAGGTCTGCAGGAGACCTGCATGGCATCAGCGATCTACTGATTGCTGGTACAATGCTTTCCAGGCTCCTGCAGGCAAAAAAAATATGCATTTCTGTGCAAAAAATTAACTTATCCTTTAGCCTGGGTTCACACTTCTGCGGTGCGGCATATCGCATGTGATTTGCACAGGAACCCCACTGCATTCCTGTGCAAATCACATGCAAATTCTCTGCGGTGCGGTTTGAGCCATAGATTTGCAAATCGCACCACATCCACATCAAAAAGGTAGAGGACCACACTAGAATCGGATCATTCGTGTATTCATACCCATGCGATCTGATTCTGCATATCGCATTGCGTTTTGCGAACTGTAGCTGCTGACTTTTAATAAACACACACTTACCTGTCCCGGAGCCCAGCTATGTTCTCACCCGCGCCATCCCTTCTCCCCTTCTCTCCTCCATGGAACCGGCATCTCTACTGTGGGCACTAGGCTGATGACAGTTCCCAGGAGACTGCGGGATGGAGGAGGGGGCCGAACTTCCGGCTCACTTTCCCGCGACGAACTGAGCCGAAAGTGGGAGCAGGTACCTGTCAAAACCAGGTATCCGCTCCCTCCCCCCCCCCAAAAGATGCCAAATATGGAAGTGGAGGGGGGGAGGCAAACAAGCGGAGCTTCCACTTTTGAGTGGACTTTAACTTAACATACACACCTGCAGAGGTTCGCATGAACAGGGTGCGATTGTGATGCAGTGCGGAATTCGCACACAAACCGGTGAGAATTCCGCACCGCATCAGTCTGAACCCAAGTTCAAGGAAATGGGGGCTGCTGTAGGTGAAACTGCACTTGCACACTATAGTCTCTGACCTCTGGTACGTAGCATTAGGACCTTACCATGATTTCAATGAAAAATTAAGACATTCTACAAGTTCTGTAATAAAGGGTTTGATATCTGATTCTTACATACTAGGTCTTCTAAAGTGGTCCACATACAAAAATAAGCACCCAGATATTAGTTTATTGATAAATATCTAAACTTTCCACAACAATTTACAATAAGTAAGACATTTTAGAAATACGTGTGTGAACAAGTAAAGGAAATAAAGGATAGTGGATGCGTAGCCAATCACATTCCATTTGTCAGTTTCTTACTTCACACTACCATCTGGTTGCAATGAACAACACTATTAGTTTTTCTTTCTCTCGTTTTTGGAAATGAGGCCAAATGTGACCGTAATATAAAAACTCATAGACTTCATAATTTGCGTAAGCACGGAAAATTCTATTTATAACTTTCGGGCTGCATTGGCAACAAACAAACAATGCTTTTTGAAGTAATATTTATAGAAATTCTGTTTTTTTATTGTTGGGATATATGTATTGGATAAAGAAACTAATAACACACACGTATTTCTAGCCAAAAAGGTGTAATTGATTTAATAATGATGGATTTTCTTTTCAGAGTTCAACATCCAAAAGAATCATTAAGCTGTCTTTGACCCTTTTCTCTTGGTATTATTAACATTACAACAACAATAATTGCATTCTATTTGCGTTGTTTCTATTTTTACTCTATATTTTCAGATATTTCGGATTTAGCATGTTTGGATACATATATATTTGGATGTAGTAAATTTAAAAGACAAAAATAGCACATTTAAATTTAGAACAATGAACAAAATCACTTTCTATTTAAAACGTCTGTTGTTCTTGTGGCTATTTCATACATTTACGTTTTTTAGTTAAATATTGTTGCTTAAAGCAGAGTTCCAGCTGCAAAAAAAATAAATATGTCAGCAGCTACAAAAACTGTAGCTGCTGACTTTAAAAATAAAGACACTTACCTGTCCCTCGGTCCAGCGGTGTCCTCACCACCGCTGGTTTCACTGGCCGTCTTCTCTCCCTGGTGCCGGCATCTTTAATGTGGGCACCCAGCTTTGACAGCTTGCGGTTTCTAGCGGGTGCCCACTGCGCATGTGCGAGAAGCACTGCGCTTTGTGAATGGCCCCATAGTCTTTTGGGACTATGGAGAGGAAGGAAGGGAGGACAACTTCCCCCCCCCCCCCCCGCTCCCCAAAGGTGGCAATCCTTATTGGGAGCAGGGGACAAAGCATTAAAGCGGAACTTTCCTTTTTGGGTGGAACTCCGGTTTAACCACATCCAAGTGAATGTTATATACTTTTTTTAGACATATGGAGCTCTCTTCTAGCAATATTTATTGTATAGCAAAACTTTTTATATACAGTATATAATCTATATATAAAACATATATTGCTGAATTTTGGTTTATGTTGGTGGTTATTTAATTTATATATAAATAGGTTTCATTTTTGTTAGGTAGTTTTGGAAAGAATTTTTTCTCTACAAATGTATAATAATTTGTTAGACTGCATGAAAATTTTCTATTTTGCATACTTAGAAGTGATTTTTCTGTGTGGCTCTCTGTAATTTGGTATAGGGGATACACCTGTGTAGCCACACCCTGTTTTGATGTATAGAGTAGTTCAATAGTAACAAAATTACATTAACTTGATGAAGAACAATGATATGCTTGAAACGGTGCAATTGTGCTATTTTTGTATGAAGATGAATATTTGATGTAAAAAAAAACTTTATTGCAAGATCTGGAGATCCTGTTCTTACTTATTTGTATATATATATATATATATATATATATATATATATATATAGTGTCTCTAAAGCCTGGATGCATAGGCAAAATGCATATTGAAAAAAAAAAACATATAGTTAGTGCTATTTCCTATGCCTCCAGACTTTAGGGACACCCTGTATATATTTATAAAACATATACACACACACTATATTGCTGAAAGTTTTGGGATGCCTGCCTTTACATGAACTTTAATGGCCAATCAAGTTCCTCCACCCCAAACTCACTCATCCATTTCCTACCTTGTTTTGTGCACTGGTACGCAGTCATTTTGGAACAGAAAGGGGCCATCCCCAAACTGTTCCCATAAAGTTGGGAGCATGAAATTGTCCAAAATGTCTTGGTATGCTGAAGCCTTAAGAGTTCCTTTCACTGGAACTAAGGGACTAAGCCCAACCCCTGAAAACAACCCCTCACCATAATCCCCCATCCACCAAACTTTACACTTGGCACAATGCAGTCAGGCAAGTACTGTTCTCCTGGAAACTGCCAAACCCAGATATGTCCATTGGATTGCCAGACAGAGAAGCATGATTTGTCACTCCAGAGAACACGTCTCCAGTGCTCTAGAGTCCAGTGGTGGCATACTTTACACCACTGCATCCGAAGCTTTGCATTGCACTTAGTGAGGTAAGGCTTCGATGCGACCATGGAAACCCATTCCATGGAGCTCTTTATGCACTGCTGTTGTTGTACTAACCTGAAGGCCACACGAAGTTTGGAGGTCTTTAGCTAATGACTCTGCAGACAGTTGGAGACTTCTCCACACTGTGCACTTCAGCATGCGCTGACCCCGCTCTGTCATTTTACGTGGCCTACCACTTTGTGGTTGAGTTACTGTTGTTCTCAGTTGCTTCCACTCTGTTATACCACTAACAGTTGACCGTGGAATATATAGTAGCAAGGGAATTTTAAGGATGGACTTATTGCTCAGGTGGCAACCTATCACAGTACCCACACTTCAATTCACTGAGCTCCTGAGAGTGACCCATTCTTTCACAAATGTTTGTAGAAGACGTCTGCATGCCTAGGTGCTTGATTTTATACACTTGTGGCCATGGAGGTGATTGGAACATCTGAATTCAATGGTTTGGAGGGGTGTCCCAATACTTTAGGCACTGTAGTGTATACTTTTGGATGGAGCAAAGTGGAGTGGGATTAGAACACATGTCAAGTTATTGCTGCTGTGTCCTCATTAGAGAGAATCACTTTCTATTTGTCCTCTTTAAAGTGATACCTCACTCCCTCAATCAACATGGACTATGTTTAATCCTTATACTGCTAGCATCTGTAAACGGATAAGAAAGTATTTCATATTGACTTGTTTTTAACTTTTGTATACGTTTCTTCAGTTACTTCTTGGTTTCCACGCCTAGTCAAATGATGCCACAGCAGTATTCAGGAGAGGAGAGAGGGTTCTCAGGTCAGCCAATGCCTGAGCTAAGGGCAAATGGATGCCAGGAAGTAAATGAATCATCTGTACTTACTCAAGATGGCCACTTTCAGAAATGCTAAAGGGTGTTTTTTTAAACTGATTTCTCAGCTAAATAAAGCATAGTGACATGGTTGGATGGGTGAGTTTGCTTTCAATATTACCAATGAATTAAATAGCATTTTGGTTTGTGGTGCTCAGTACAGTTCCACTTTAATATTTCTTTAGTTACTTCCTAGTTTCCATGCCTAGGCAAGGCTCTGCAAGTGGTAAATGATGTCATATAACCCAGGTGTCTTAAGGAGGGGAGGAGGGGTTTTCTCAGCTAAGCACACCTCCTGCCTGTAATCCTGAGCTAAGGGCAGACACAGGATGAAAGACATCTTGCAAAGCAATTCCTATCTGTAGAGACCCAGAGAAACCAGCTATCCTACTAGTAGGACTGACATACCTACTACTCATACTTCCCAGTATGAGTGTAGGTAAGACAGTCCTACTAGTCAGATAACTGGTTTCTCTGGGTCTCTACATATGGTAGTTGCTTTGCAAGATGTCTTTCATCCTGTGTCTGTGGGACTATGAGAGTAATCTTCATAGCATTTGATGCTCAGCTGTAGGTCCATCATCCATCCTGCCAGGAAAGACTTTGAATCATTTCGTCTGATGATAGACTGCAACGCTATTTGATCTCTTTTAATGTGGGGTCTTAGTCTCTGGCAATGATGTGTGTTATGGTGGTGTCAACACTGTGGCTGATGAAGGAGACTTCACAATGGTGGATCTCACAAGTGGATGCACACCTTAAATCTGCTGCCTACATGACTGAAGAAATATTTGATGGAATTCTCCTACCAACCCTTCTTTTATTGTGAAAGGAAGGGGAGGGCTCTAAAATGTAAACAATTGCACTGTTTACAGTTGTGATTGCTGTGATTAGTCATCAAAGCAGTCACAAAGTACAGCGCAAACTCTAATTGGCTTTGTGCATTTTGACTATAATTTGCATTGTCTAATCACAGCCCGATCATAGACATTGTGTGTAGGACATGTGTGCACACTTAAGGTTAAACACGTGGCTATATATATGGCAGTCTAGAACACTATGGTCCCCACACTGCTGTTAAACCTGTTTTGGATGGCCCACAGTACATGTACTGCAGGCAGCACAGGCTGGTTAAGCAAACATGCTTAGCACATGCACACTGGCGCACTCCCTGGGTCCCATAACTCCTGTGTCCTGGCAGCTGGCCATTATGAGAAGCCAGGGAGTCACATGATCGCTATGCGATCACATGATCACAATGTCAACACACAAGTCATATGATGATGCTGTACTTAATTTTTCAAAAAAAGTGACAAGAAATTAAAACTTCAAAAAACTCACCATGCCTCCTACTAAATAGCCCAGACTGTTTACTTTCCAAAAAAGGGGTACTTTGGGGGGTATATGTACTGTCCTGACATTTTAGGGCCTCAAGAAATGAGGTCACCAGTACATCAGGACTGATCAATTTTTCAAATATATTTACCATAGTTTATAGACTCTAAAACTTTCACACAAACCAAATAATTTACACTTATGATCATTGGATATGTTTTATAACACAAAGTAGAAAACAACATTTTTTTTTCAAAGTTTTCTGACTTTTTTCAAATATATCATAAAAAGTAAAAAAAAAGTGGTTATCAAATACCACTAAAGAAAGCTCTATTTGTGTGAAAAAGATGATTGTGATGCAATTTTAAAATGGTTCCTCTGCAAGTATAGTGTTGTGCGGTACAATTTGTAGCTACATAGACTTGAATGGAAATTATTTATATGATAGAGTAGGGTTGCCAGCTCATCCCTTTAAAACCAAACACATATTAATTACACAGGTTCTGAGGCTAATTTACTGCAGATAAGGCATTAAGTGAGTTTAATTACCACCTTAATCAGCCCCAGAACCTGTGTAATTAATATGTGTTTGGTTTTAAAGGGATGAGCTGGCAACCCTAATCCACAGATAGTTAGAATATCTATGAGTTACAGTCAGAATAAAGGAGAAGAGTGTCAGGAAGGCAAGTCTTTAATTGATGCTAATACATTAGCCTACTTGGCTGATATTGAGAATGTAAGTTCTGGAATGGCATTGCTGCAACAGAATATGCCCCTAGCAACCAGGGGAATGACTTTTGTAGTGAGAGTGGGAATGGTAGTGATCCAAGTAACAGAAGTGGCAAGGTAGATTATAATTTTGTAGCAATAACAGAAAACAGGTTAGATAGTTGTCGTGATTGGACAGTGAATTTGAAAAGTTCAAACTTCTTTTTTTTTTTTTTTAAATTAGCTGTGTTTATAGATGTGTGTAAAAACTGTGACAGTGAATCCATATAGATAAATATATATGGCAAAGGGCATAAGTATAACATACTTACTGGGGTTTGCCATAAGTCTCCTAACATACTGTAAATAACATTGCTGCATATTTAGAAAAGCAGCAACCACCAGCAATAAAATCTTTTTTATTGTTGATATCAAATAGGACATTGTAGCTTGAATGGATGGACAGACCACTTCTGCCATCACTCCTCTATGTTTGTATATTAATGTAAAAGTTGAGTTGGTATTCTTTTTGTTGGCTTGGGCAAAGGGGTAAACCCTTTGATATTTTGGAAACCATCTAGACTTGGAAGATGCAGAAGTTGCAAAAAAATTGCTAATAAAATTACTTTGAATCTTTATACTTTCTACAGGTATATACATTCTAAGAGGATGAAGTCTGATACTACTGGATCTCAAAATTATTAACATTTTTTTCATTACCTCCAGTCCGCTTTCATAGATTCTATTAAGGCAATTACTTCCATTTAGTAAAACAATGTTATGACATTCTAAATACATGTTTCCTATAGCTTTTTATTTGGCACCAACTCCAACCTAAATGTATTTCATTTTGGATAGAGAAGAAAAGGCTAGAGGCTCTGTGAAGTGTTTATTGATTTTATTATTCATTTACTGTTGGGGAAGGTATTGATGGGAAATTTCTCCAACAGGAACAGAGAACAAAATAATAATTATATTGATAATTTTTATTGCTGCTGCATGAAGTGAGGGGAAAATCTCCTCAATGGGGTCACAGACAAAAATATTGATGTAATGAAAATATTAGCCATTTCCCTAACCAAAATTTAAAACAAAAATGGATAGAATTAGGTTTTAAAGGATAAGTTCACCTTTGGGAACATGTTACATGTTCCTCCCCATTTTTAGGGTGGAAAATGTTACATGTTCCCACTGCTGCAGCCTTTCCCCAATCCGCAGCCTCTAGTGACAGTGAGCCAGGGATCTTCTCCCGCTTTCACAATTTAGTTCTGTGAATGTGAAAACTACAACAACCTTTGAGGCTGTAGTTTTCAATGAAGTGCTAGAGCGCTGGTAGTTCATTTATGGTTCCTGTCATTGTGAACCTGCCTGCCCGTATGAGGAACAAGCAGACAGCTCACACTGACAGTCTGCAGGAGATTTGCATTACACCTGTGATCTGCTGGATTGTGGGTGCAATGCTTTACAGGCTCCCAATTAAAAAATGTGATATATACTGTATATATATATATATATATATATATTTATATAAATTCACTTTTTTTTTACCCACAAAAAATATGTGAAATTTTTTTTTTTTAAGGGAAAACATATCCTTTAAAGCACCTTTGGTGCAGTTACACTTCTATTGTATACTCCCCTGCCCCCAGTCAGACCTGCAAGTTTTATACTTATCTGTAAATTACCACCCATACAACCATGTTTAAGCGGGTATATGAGTTATATTTCACAGTGGGCTCTCTAAGGGCCAGTGTCCGCAGGTTTTAGGATATTTACATCAATTTGAGATGCTTTTGATATAGTTGATGTCCTTCTAATTTGCTTCAGCTAGGTTTTGTACTCCTACGGACTCACATTCCCTCCTTCAAATCCAGCCAAGGATTTGAAGGGTCATGCAAAACCCACTTGACACAAGAAAGCTGATCGAGACAGGCCTGTATGGATTGACACTGCATTTGCGCAGGCCTGGATCAGAACACAGTGGTTGATGTCACAAACTTTAAAGGGACTCTGTCGCCACAGGGTCTCTTAAAAACTAACTCTAACCTGTAAAAGAATAGCATCTATGCTTAGATTTCCAGCAGCCCATGTCTTCAAATGCCACCCCTTTGGCGATTGGTGGGAAGAATTGCAGTGTGAGGCAGGGGTAACAGGTATTCAAAATGCCCAAAGTGTTGGATACCTGCAGCTGCTGGAAGCAGCAAAGGGGATGCATTTGAGGATACGGGCTACCAGAAAACTATGTTTAGATGCTATATTTTTCAGGTTAATGTTAGTCACCCAGTGGTGACAGAGACACTTTAATGTATTCCCCAAAGGTAAACTTTATGCTTAGGACTCTACATGCTGTATTTTTCTTTATTAATTCCCTTAAATCTGTTATGCATCTTCAACATTTTACCTCCATATTTATGTTTATGGTTTGACCTTTTTTTATATAAATGTGCATTAGCTACATTTAAGTAACTAAGGTAATTAACTTGAAGATACAGCTATTAGACTGATAG